AAGTTGTTAAGGGCAAGATCATGCTCACCAACTCAGCTGACAACTTCCTTTTCATTTTTTTAAGGTAAAGTAAAGAACTGCAAAGATAAGGAGGACAGCTATACTGAAATACTCTCCTACATGTTTCTCTTAGTATAGCAAAGACTTGTTGGGTGGGTCTGCAGTTGGGCTAAATAACCAATATCTATGCTCAATGGCTTTATTTGTTATTAAGATACTTTTTGTAAATAAGCTATTTGGTGCTTAAGTTATATTTTCCAAGTGATGAGAAATTCCCTAACTTTATTAATTACTCATACAATGTATTGCATAAACTGAAATAAAATAGTTTTCTGTGAATGGTATTTAAAAATATTTTTATATACTAGCACATTTTAAAATTCATGAACATTTAAGAATTTCCAAACATTTCCAAGTTGTCATTCCATTACCTGGAAGCTGGCCCAGAATACAATATATGACATTTTATTTCACAATTGTTTAATTGCTTCACTAGCTTTTCCAAGAAGTATGTTTCATATGAGCTCAATAAAAAAATCTGAAACTTATACCTCATATACTTTTAGATCTGACCAAAAAAGTGAAGGGGAAATAATAAATGCTTCATTAATTTTCAATTTATAAGTGAATAAGAGAAAAAAAGTCATGTTTTTATATATGTGTATATATATATATATATGAAGAATGGAAGATCAGTATCAATGGACATTAAAATACAACTTTTATATATATATAAAAAGGACATACTCAAAGGTTAATTTGAATATGTTAGATGCGACAGAAACACAACCATCACAAATGAGGAAAATTTAGAAATTATCTGGAAATACAGATAGACTTGCATAGGTAAGACCAGTATAAGAGATCTAACATAAATTGTTGTGTCATAATGATAAACACTTTGGAATTTAACATGCCACATTAAGAAATCTCATGACAGGTACTGGTCCTTATTAGCTCCCTCACCTAGAGTGATGCTCTCTGTTTGGCCATCTGTGGACAAAGGCAACAGAAAGAGGCTGTGATAGATCAGCACCTTCCAAAAACTGTGGAATTGCCTTGTCCTGAGACTGGAAAACAAGTCGCTTTAACTATTAATTTCTTAACACTACACATTTTATAATAATGCACGTTACAGACCATCTTTGCACAGGAAACTGGGCCCAGTACGCACCAGAGCCCTTTGCCACCAGAAAATACTTACTACACCCACAAACTTGGCTTATATTTTTTATAGTATTTTTCAAAGTCTCCTACCAAAGGACAAGCAATGCAAATGTGGAACTCAGGTGACTGCACTGTCATCCCTATCTACTGCACTTCAGCTTGCAGAATTAGAATTTCCATCCTCAGCCCAAGGTATCTGGTACAACTGACTTAATCTCATCAAATGGGATTAAAAGAAAACACATGACTGAGCCACATAAGAAAAAAAAAGAGGAATAACACTTAAAATGTCATTATTTGTATTTTCCTCCATCTCTTAATGAATGGACCAAGGACAATGGGAATAGTAATTACAGGGAACAATGAATGGCAAAACTATAATCAGAGAAAAACTCTGCAGCATCTTTGACACTCTATTAGCTTCAAAAATCATAAATTCGTAACAAACAAGAGTAGCAGACAAGAGTGTTAAAAATATCTACCAATGTATTTAGACCCTATTGCTCACAGAAAAGGCTACATTTTTTTTCTGATAATTTTGCATAGTTTTAATTTTTCCAGAGAAGCTACCAGAGAAGTAGAGGCTTTTCACTACTTTATAAATTATTCTGTCAAGGTAGAGAAACCATTTTGAAGAAGAATTTTGAGAAAACATGAACATTTCCTCCTCATTTTCCTTCAAATTAGTTCAACTCTAAGCCTGAATCAAATAAAAGCACTTCCTGAAGTAAGAAGCAGCTGGAAAAAAACCCAACACCTTATGTTTCTGCTATTCATTCTTGACAAGAGAGATAGAGAAAAGAGAAAAAAACAATTCCATTCCCGAAACAGAGGATGAGAGGAAAAGGTTTGCTTGACAGTCTTTAGATTAGTCTGGGAGATAATATATCTTTCTGAAGATGCACAGTGTTGACCCAAACCCCCCCTAGACCTCCAAGCATGGACACTGTGCCTCAGCATCCGGGCTGGAAGTGAAGCCTGCTGGGGTAAAGAAAGACTGTACAATGCAGGAGGACTCTGCTCTTGATCCAGATTCCAAAGCATGAGAAACAAACCCATCTGTAACATCTACTACTGCCAGCTCCTTCCACAGATCAGTTATGTGGAAAATATCACACTGAGTGAGATAATTGTTTGTTATTTCCATGTCTTTACACTGAGAATTCACCCAGATACTTTGTGATAAAATCCCTTACAAGCAAATGTGAAGTCAGTGTCATCTGTGATCTCTGATATACTCAGATCTATACAGATAAAGAAAATTAACCTGAATATGCTGAGTTGAAAAGAAGTCACTTCTTCATTGAATTCAGATACTATCACAAGAAGAGTTTGCATGAACAATATAGTTGCCTGTTTCAAGAATCAGAGAGTTTATGTGCTGGATCATAAACAACAGCCTAATTTACAAATGAGTTGACAAAACTGTCCACTTAACATGTCAACATAATTAACATAACAAAATTATATTATCAGAGCTGTCCAGTACTGTAATGAATTTTCAGCTTTCATCCCATTTAGTGCATTTCTACTTGTTCTAACACAGGACTCCACCTTTTGGAACAATTATGAGAAAGTCCCAGGAAAATAAGATACACAGAATACTTCTGCAGCCCAGCAAGGCAGTAATACACTGCTTCTGCTAGTATATATTTCTATTGTAGGACAGCCAAAAGACCTTAGCTAGGTTCTGCACCCCATTGTGCTGGGCACTTTGGATACACAAAAGGGAACAAAGTCCCAGCCCCAAAGGGCTTGCAGTGTAAAAAGATAAGTGATATAGTGAAGAGAAAGGCAATGGGATGCATTCAAAATAGACTGACTTTTAAATTCCTGTATCCATTTGTCATCCTTTCAAGCTGCCAAGAGAGAAGAATAATCCTGACCTGCTTCCTCAAAGCTACCCTGATCTATTTGAATATTATTTCCAATGCTAATCAAAGCATGGTTAAGATTTTCCTTTAAAAACAAAACAAAACAAAACAAAAAAAAATTCTAACCAGTTTTATTTCCCTGGCTTTTACAAACAAGTACAATCAGAACAAATGAAGCAGAATGAAATGAAAGCAAAAATAAAACTAACAGTGAGGATGGGAAACACAGTGAGAATTTAGTTATTCTAAGTAAGAGTTTAGTTATTCTAATTCTTGCCCTTGACAATTGTTGGACATATTTTCATACAGACACAGATAATGTCCTCTAATTCCACTTCAAGAATCTATTCCTGTCGGTTAAACATTATCTAAAAGTCCCTATGGAGGTGTTCATTTAAAGCTGATGCTGGCACAGTTTCTTGTTCTTTTCTAGCCATCTGGTCACCTACTGAATTTTCAGCTATTTTATCTAAACCTGAGAGTAAAATTGAAGAAGTAAACAAAAACATCAACAAAAGAAAAGTCAGGGTCCAAAGTAACCACAACAATGAAGCCTAAAGTTACAATTTCTTCTCACTCACAATATTTAGACAAAAGAGACTTAATGAAAAAACCCAACACCCTCAAAAGGTTGCAACCTGAGGCTATTTTTAACCCCCTGTCCCTCTTCAGTCCATACACACAGCTGTAAACATAAACTGATGAATCACATTGCCCCCTCTCCCTCCACCCCTCTCTCCTAACAGCTAATAGAAAATACACAGATCCATTTCTTTACATTAAAACTTAGAATCCCAGAGGCTGGCATTCAAAATGATTTTGTGTGCCATTCAATAAAACCTTTTAAGATCAATTTTTAACTGTGGACGTCTCAGTCCTACGTTTTCTCTGCATACTGACAAACAACAGAATGTGGAAGATGACTGTCTCTGTAAAGCACCCATTTAAGAAAACTCGCTACAGTTTCTATACAAATAGACAAGAGTCCCACTACATTAAAATGAAACCAAATCATCTTAGCAAACCTCTTTTTTCCTCATGGTCTTCTCTCTTCTCTGCGCAACGTTGTTCCATCTTACACACACACTTAGATGTGCCATAAGTGCTTCGTTTAAAGTGCATAAAAGCTATCCAGAGCTCTCCTAAGAATGAAACAGTTTAAATATTTTCTGATCCATGTTCCTGCCACAAACATTCACCCGCAGTGTGATAGCTCCAAGAGCAGACATCTGATTCTTGACATTTAAAGATACAATACTGGTGAAAAATAGTGACGCTGTATTAACTGCAAACAGCTTGTGAGGGAGTAGGTGATGTACTCCTAATATGTATAATCAGAACAAGCAATAATTTCAACCTTTTGATTTTTTTATTTTTGACTCAAAGCCATGAGAAAGAGGAATAGCCAGATAAACAAATCTGGACACATCACAATAACTATTTTATGAGAATTTATATTCTATGGCAAAGAGGAAAGTAGGTTGTTTTCCTGCTGGAAGAAGTACTAAAGTAACCCAAAGGTCCTCAAAAGGGTATCAAAAGCTTTCATACTAAAATAAGCAGTAAATGATGGCAAAACTTGCAATTACAGAAGTCAAATAATTTGTATCCTGGTAACATTCGGTTAAGTGACATTGTAATGCTAAGTGCAAGCACTACAACATCACATTCCCTATACCCCTACTGAGAGTGCCTTACAAATAAAAAAGGTACACAGGTCTTATTTTTCCCACATGAAAAAACTAAGCCTGTTCCAACATGAAATATTTATTTGAAATACTGAATGCTGGAAGCAATAAAAGAAAGAAAGAAAAAAAAAAGCAGATTGCAACATTACCCCTTGTTTGGTGACCTGTGACCTCTCCAGAAAGCTGAAATATCAGAGTAAACCTCCATCCCCCACAAACACCTGAGACAAGGCAGAGCACAGTTAACAGCAATCAGTTCTCTACACTGTACCTGGAGGTACTGACATGACCGTTCCTGTTGACACGTCTCTGCCTTCACCACTGTCTGGTCCATGTTAACTGATGCTTTCTGGTAAACTTCACGGGCTCTGCTCACAGTTAGTGTAGAGGACCAAGAGCTTTTCTTCATTAACTGGGAGTCCAAATTCACAGGCAGGTTTGCACAGGTAGAGCATTTGACATCATTATTGCTTCTGGATGACTTCACAGTATGTTCGCTAATAGTGTTATAGGCTTCCATAAAGTATTGGGAAGAAGAACGATCAGGGCATCTTCCCATGGTCATGACCCCACTGGGACCATGATAAATGCAAACATCATTGTCCAAGTTGTCATCTGAACTCCACCATCCTGATGCATTGGATCTGGGCTTACCTTCTGATCGCCTTTCTTTACTCTTGCTGCGCTTCCCATACCTCAACGTCTGCGACTCCTCCGGGCTCGCTTTGCTCCCGTTGACACTCCCCTTGGATGGTCCCTCCAGTGAATGGGACTTGGTAAAGAGCTTTTGGACCGAATGGACCAGATGCCGGATCCTCCCCGGGCTGTCACTGCGGTGCTCCATGGCAGTCCGCTTGTACTGCAGAGTGTGGTAGCCATCCCGATTCAGGAATGCGGTTGGTCTTGTTGGCAGTTCCATGGGGAACCAGAGCACACTCGTCCTTGAGTTCATGGTGGGAATTGTAATGCCTCCGGGGAAACGTGCTGCTGGCAATCTGGTCGCCGTAGGGCACCATGCACTCCGCCTGAAAAGAGTTCCTTTGAGTGTAGTAAGGGTGGTCTGCAGGATGAGGGTCCACCGGGTTTAACAAATATGGCTTGCGGTCCGGGTGGTGTGGCAGGCTGTCACATGCAGGGTCACAGGCAACCCCATGGTGATGACTGCGGCTGCTAGATAATCCCTTCATCGCTAATGTGAAGCAAGTCCCAAAGTCATCTAATACGTATGGCTGTGTGATGGGCAGATCTCAGAGAAAGGCCTGAAAGAACGAAATGCAACAGAAGCCATAAGATACTCAAGCTAAGAGAAAAAACAGCATGTGCACATTTAGTGTTCATAGTTTCTTATTCTAAAAACAACAAGAATAAACACTCTCTAATTCTTTTTATCGCTTCATCTTTTCCGTGTCAAACACAGCGATGGAGGATACCTAAATAACACACAAGAAAACTTACCTTGTTCCACCAGCTGGAAAACAGATACAAGAACATTATTCTAATATGAAATTCACTATTTATGAATCTACAACAAGCTAAGTATCACCACCTTAACCCAAAAACCTCAGGCCTGAAAACATTCATGGACACAGGCCTCCCAGGAAGCCTCAACAGCCCATCTGCACATTTCCAGGGGCAAATACACACATTTTAAAAGATACTGTCCATAACGGAGCACTTTATAGGTTACTCTGGGCCAAATACAAAGTCTGATGCCATTTATGGGAAACTTCTGCCTGCAATACACATCTGTTCCCTATTCAAGCACAGTTTTACTTGATCTCCATGCAGTCTGCCGAGATTGTAAGCATCTCTAGACAACACCAAAATATTATTTCTGTAAGATCTTTTCAAATTAAGAATAAAACAATACTACATTACACTAACTCTATCAAAATGAAGCCAAATTAACCATTTAATAACCTATATATTTGAGGTTGTTTTATTTACTGTTTACTCTCTCTTATTCACAGCAAAAATCTTATTCTGATAATGCATGGTGTAGCTAAATTTTCCATAACTTTTCAGAGAACTAAATATTTAAATATTCCCACCTACACCTTCTACCATTAGGGGAATTGGTATAGCCCAAAATTGCACAGTGTTATAACCGTGTAAAGGATTTCAACATTTAATATCTGGACACAGTTATTTGGCCCTGAAGTGACTTGTAATGTTATAGACTATTGATTACAAGTTGAAAATTGAAATCCTCATCACAAGTGATAAAATAACTACTCTATCTGAGGCCAGATGTTCTTGTTTCAGCTCCCACCACCAGCAAAATCTGGATGCAACTGCTACTGCAACGTCTGAGTTCCTACTGTGTAAATTACAGGGTTTCAGCTGAGCCAAAATATTCTCATGGTGCTGTCTCAGCTCCTGATGGGCAGAGGGCTCCCTCTCATACCACACACAACCGAAATGGGAGTCACTCAGCTACTTTATTCCTTTCCGTCATGGCTAATCTCATAATGCTTTTGGAAATGTCACCCCTGAGATCTTTCTTGGAGTATAGATAGACATGCATAGCAAACAGTTTTCTACTCTGTTCCTCCAGTGTTCTCTCAAATAAAGTTTTTGGTTTAACAGGTTGTAGACATTGTATCTACAAATTGGCAACAACGAAGTTTTCTAAAATAGCATGAAGCCAATGTCAGTCTGAAGAAGCAAGCTCCGCCTTTAATCAGACCATATTTCATATTTTCTTCTGAATCTGTGGTGAGCTAAAAAGGAGGCTTTTTTCAATATGCTTCAAAGCTGGTGTGGATGTCCTGCATTTCACTCCCCCTCACTGGATCCCTGCAATGCAGAAAATGTTCATTCTTGGGAGATCCTGAATTCCAAAACCAAAAGAGTTTCCATAAAACCTCAAAAGGCACTTCATATATTCCAAACAGATAAGCTCACTGGCTTACCTGAAGAGGCAAATGGCCAAAGGCACTTTTAAAAGCAGAAAATGAGTATATTCAGAGGGCTGGACCTGTAAGTTATACTGTAGTGACAATTCTTAGCATTTCTAAAGAACATTATACATCTCTACATATCTTTTAAAAACGTGATCTATTAGACACTGTAACAGAGAAATTTCCAAAGGGATGCAGCAGTAGATCCATTACTTAGATCACTGAAAATGTGACTTGACCTAGAATGTCCTGTCAAGAAGAATACCACTAAACTATATAAATATCAAATAAAAATACTGCAATCTCTGTTATGTATGAGTATCTCTCACCAGTGAAAACAAGGCTCCAGCCAGTTAATTTTTATCTAAATCCATTTATAATCACGCAAGAGTCCTCAAGATGACTGATAAATTATCTTCGGGCTAACAATAGACTAGTGTGCTATATTAGATAAAAAGAGTCAAACCTTGCCCCAAAGATATGAGGAAGATATGGAAAAGTTCAGTAAAGTGGGACATGCCCAGAGTCAGTGGATTATCTCAATTTTTCATTATCTGAATAGATATATGTCTTCATAGGAGACGTGTTTCATCCCTCTGGTCTTTTTTGTGGGCCTCCTCTGGAGTCACTCGAACAGGTCCACAGAATTATGATTATTCTGTATTCTTAATATATTGATAGAGCAGAATGGCTATAATGATGAAACACTTGATCTGATTTATAGGCTGGGACATAATAATGAGGAACATCACTGATAATAATGTGGATGTGTTAGAGTGCGTTGACAGGAAGGCAATGAAAATGATCCAAGGGCTGGAGCACCTCTCTTATGGAGACAGGCTGAGGGAGTTGGGGTTGATCAGCCTGAAGAAGAGAAGACTCCAGAGGGACCTTATAGCAAGTGACCTTCCAATACCTGAAAGGGGCCTGTAACAAGGCTGGGGAAGACCTGTTCAGTAGGGCGTGTGACAATCGGACAAGGGGTAATGGCCTTAAGCTAGAAAAGGGTAGATTAAGTTGGGCATTAGGAAAAAGTTCTTTAAGCTGAGGGTGGTGGATCACTGGAACAGGTCGCCTAGAGAGGTGGGGGAGGCCCCATCCCTGCAGACATTCAAGGTCAGGCTTGATGGGGCTCTGAGCAATCTGTTCTAGTGTGAGATGTCCTTGCTTCTTGTAGGGGGGTTGGACTAGATGACCTTTAGAGGTCCCGTCCAACCCAAGACCTTCTATGATTCTACCATGAAGACAAAAGATGAGCTAAAAGATGCAAGTACAGTTTGACAGATGAGAGCAGTAGTGTTAGCAGTTGTGTTTTGGATGCAGTGCCAATATGGATGCTGAGGAGGATGTGCAGGAAGTCTCAAAAAGTGAACAAGCTTATGAAAAGTGACATTTGTCTGTATAGAGAGAAAGGGACAGGGTTTCCATAAATTGTGGAGGAAGACTGTCTAAGTATTGCTGTATGAGCTTGGATGGCAAGTAGGATGGTGGAAACATTGAGGAGAGAAGATAACATTTAGTTCTACACTCATTTTGAGTCTGAGCTGTCAATGAATCTTCCATGAGGAAGAACTGGAGAAAAAAGCATAAAATATGTAAGATGATCAGCTCAGGAGGAATCAGATGATCAGATACAGAGAACAACAGAGAAAATATGCTTGTGAAAGCAAAAGATCATAGAGTTACAAAAAAAAGGAGGAAAAATCTTCACAAGACCAGCAGATTTAAAAAGAGGAGGGGAAAAAAGAAGTAGCAAAAAACGGAGTGATAGAAAAAAGAAATAAAAACCAAAAGGGAGCAACCAACCTGAGTAACAAAACAGAGTGATGTTAAAGGTTTAAAAAGCTGGAAGAAATTCCAGTTTGGGGTATATAACTGTTTATTCCCAACTCTAAGACAGGTGTATGCATTAGAACATTGTTGGTTTGTTTTTTTTTCTGTTGCAACAGCACTGAAAATATTTATTTCATCATGTGTCAGCTGTGTTTAAAAAAAAAAAAAAAAAGAATATTAACTACAACATAGCTTCATTTTACCTTGACTATTTCTGCTGCACTAATGGAAGTGTAACAAGTTAGAAAAAAAACACAACAACCCAAGAACGTACCATAGTGCACCTTTCAGGAAGGAAAGAGTAAGTATAATATACTCTGCACGGAAGAAAGGAGTGGTGCTTTTCTTAAAGACTAAGTGGAAAAATCTTCTGCACAGAAAACACCCCCAAAAACACCAATGCAGTTCCGAAATCATTCTCATACCTCGATCCTGCTTCAGTATGCTAATATATGTCTAGAAAAAACACCCTGCAGCCTCTGATTCCATCAGTGTTTTTTAAAACATATGCACCATTTTCTGTAATTGTGTTGGCTTAACCTATCAATCACTGTTTAGAACAATTAACAGTTGGAGACAGGGCTATCTGATCAAGCCATGAATAGCTGAGAGGAAGTCAATTAAGATTTTTATTGCATTGTTATTTTTTTGGCCAAGTTAGGAACATGTAATTACTCATGAAATAAGGCAAGATAATTGATGAACATACTGCATATTAATAAACAGTGGAAATAGTAATTCTATGGACAGCAGACCAAAACCACTTGATGGCATAGGAATAAATGAGATGTTAAATAGATACAGAATTTCAAAGATGAAAAATGCTTATTATTTTTAACATTCATGTTACGTTTACTTTTGTTTTCTCAGGGATGCCTTGGGTAAGAAGGATATGAATATATTAATCCTTGCAACTAACATAGTGTCCCTAATGCACAATAATTTGTTGGAGTAACTTAGTCGCTAGAAAAAGGCATAATTAATTCTTATGTAATTACAGTGAACAAGCATGGAAAAGAACAAAAGCTGAATGCAAAAATTGCCTGCACTTTAGCAAATTTGATTTAACTATATTGTTTACTCACATGTTCCAAATTTATTAATAAAACACTTCAAGAAACATATTATTTCCCTTAGATATATGTGAAATTCTCTTAGAAAAGATTTACTGATATGCCAGATAGTCTCATGAGACTGCAGAATTAAGTTTCTTGCATTTTTACAGGAAGGTAAGAAATGTATTCACAAAAATATGCATACATAGATATATAGAAAGTAATTAGTAAGGAGAAATTAGTAGGTGGTACAAAATGGATAATTAATAACTCAAAATTACTAATATAACAAATGTGGTTTGTGGCCACTAGCAACTTACAAACTTTCATAATTTAAAAGTATTTTATAGGATCACTATGGAGAATCAGCATTCACAATTTTCCCTTTTTTCAGTA